AAGATCAAAGACCATTTTTAATATAACTCCGACTGGATTCGTCTGAAAGAAGATAGTCATATACACCTAGGATGACTTGAGGGCGAGTAATTTATGGGCTAATTTTCATTTTTGGGTGAACTAACCCTTTAATCCAGCACTTTCACAGCATCAGCTTTATTCTTCTCATATTCATTATATCACATTAGAGCTACAGATTCTAGTATTTGCCACTTACACTATATGTGAACTTTCTAGGAAATAGTTTGGATGATAAAACATCTGCAAAAAACATAAATGTCCATCTAACAGCTCAAGCACATCAATGGAGTCTCATTGTAGAGTTGAGTAGATTTGCTGAGGAAAAGCAGCTCAAAGGCTACGATTAGATTGACCATTATTTATAAATTTACAGCGGTTAGAGACACTGAAACTTCACAAGAACCCTCAAGACACGACCAGGTTTGGTTTAGTTTCATTACACTGAAGCATTGCTAATATATAGCCTCACTTCATGTTTGGGGTTCTCATCGTCAAATTCATCAATGTGTTACAGACAAATAAAAACCAATTTAACCAGGTTTGAGGATCACCTGATCCAATTTTGATTAACATAACTCAGAATCGGTAATAATGAGTACACTGATTTCACAGTGACATAATAAATCAGAGGGGAAAAAATTAAAAAGTAAAAGTTGAAATGTTAGTGAAGTTTTGAACTGTTAGTGGTGGTTGACAGCTAAATGTATCTTCCAGAATAAATGATTCCTAAGAGATTTCCAGAGCTGAAAGCCATTTTAAATCAGTTGTAAAAACATAAAAGACCTTTTGTTTGTTAGTTTCTGTGATCCAGGGTCACACCCGGCTGGAAACATTCTCACAGACCCCTAAAGGGGGACACCCCCCCTCCTCAACACAACACAATTCTACAAAAGTTTTAAATCTTTCTCACAATACAAATGACTACTTTGAAATTGAAACCAATTTACCAATCTCACAAAGACCTTTAAAATGACACTAAACATGAAGGGGAAAAACAACAGGTTCACAAGATACATGATATGTGGGATATGCATATTCTTAATGAACTTTGAGTGAAACCTTTTGGGGGAAAAGAGGGAGAGGCAGAGCGGGCAGGGGGAGAAGGGGGTCGTAAATGGGCGAGGAGAGAGGTGTTGTTTGTTCTCTTTGAAGATTTCTTCTCCAGATAAGTTTTATTGTTTTATTGCATGGCGTCTGTTTTGTGTGAGTTCCTGAGTATTGGTTTCATGAAGAGTTAATTTCATAAGGAAATAAATTCACTCCTTTCACACCCATATACAGATTTAATTGACTTCTTTCATAAATTGCAGTGACTGCTCCAAAATACGAGACACCAATGTTTCAGGAGTTTAGGACACATATTAGGAAACCTTTATTCGATAACTGTTCTATTTCCTATCTGCTTTTATCATATTTCATATCAGTGTTTTCCTGCAAAGACTTGATTTCAAAAACAGTATCATAACTAAAAAACTTTGTATTTAACCTCAGAACGATCTCAAAGTGAAAAGAGGTGATAAAGTATGATTTTGTGGTGGCTGTGTTTTAAGTTTTATAATCTTAATTCAATTGGTGAAGGCTTTTGACAGTCTGTCAGTAATCGGTGTTGAGAACTACTGTAAGGTTAACCCTGCCTGGTTCAAATGTTTGAAAATGATTAACAGTAGAAAACATTAGAAATTTAGAAAAGTAATCAAAAAGTAATCAAATGTGATCAGTTACATTAATTAAGCAATTGAAATAGTTACACTACTTATTACATTTTTAACAGGGTAATTTGTAATCTGTAACCTATTACATTTCCAAAGTATCCTTCCCAACAGTGGAGGTATGTGTGTAAAATGTACTTTTGTCTGTAAAGCAGGTTCCTATTCTTTATAATATATATGTCACGGTTCATGTTCAGCGTTGCTCCGGCACCCGCGGTGCTGACGAGCTAATCAGCGCGGCTGCACCTGCCGCTCGTTCTGTCCTGTCTATATCTGTCTCGTGTGTTTTGTGCTGCATGTTGTCAGATCGTTGTTTATCCTTGCTCATGCTTGTTGTTCTCTCCAGAGTCTGTGTGCCCGGTGGATCCCTGCCTCGGATTATTTCCACTGTGGGAAACCATCGAAGTCTCGCTGGATTCCACTGCCCTAGCTGGATCGGGTCAGGGTTTCGCAATCCCCGTGTGTTCACGTCTACTCACCTGTTTACTATTTATTGTCACAATAGAACGATCTGACCAGGATGGATACAGCACGTGTCGCGGAGCTCAGAGACGTTCTTTCCGGCAGCAGTGCTCGAGGAACAGCAGATCCTGGCTACCGGTCGAGCTGTACAGACTCTGATAACGCAAGTCTTGGATTTAACCACCCAATTTCGATAGCTAAGTTCTGAAGCGGCCCAACGGCCCACTGCACTCAATTCCTCAACAGCCTCACCTGTGGAGTTCCCCAGCCGGCGGGCTGAGCCCCGCCTACCGCCTCCAACAGTCTACTGCGGTGAGCCCCTGTTATGTCGATCATTTCTGGCAACCTGTTCTCTTCATATTGCTCTCCAGCCTTCGTCTTTTCCCACAGAGGAGTCCAAGGTGGCGTTTGTAATTACGCTGCTGACTGGAAATGCGGCGCTCTGGGGAACAGCGGTGCGGGAGCAAAAGCATCATTGTTGTTCGTCATTCCAGTCCTTTTCGGACGAACTCAGGAAAGTTTTTAATCGGGCGGCATCCGGCAGGGAGGCGGCGCGGGAGTTGGCTGAGTTACGCCAGGGAAATCGCTCTGTCACTGATTACTTGATTGAGTTTCGCACTTTGGCGGCAGAGTGTAAGTGGAATCAGGAAGCGCAGTGGGACATTTTTAGGCATGGACTGGCTGATCGTATCACCAATGAAATCTACACATTAGAACTACCCACCTCACTTGACGGGTTGATCGATCTGGCTATTCGAGTCGACAATAGACTACGACGGCGTGACGAGCAAGCTCTACAGATGTCGGCGGGTAAGAGTGGCGATCAATTCGTTGCTTCGACGAGGGTTTCCTCGGATTATCTCTATGATCCTGAGCCTATGCAGGTGAGCAGAGCCCGTCTTTCACGGGAGGAGAAGGAGAGACGCAGAAACTTGGGCCTATGTTTGTACTGTGGTGCTGCGGGTCACATTGTAGCATGCTGCCCGATAAAAGCCAAAGTCCGTCAGTAGATAGGAGGTTACTGGCGGGCGGAGTCGCGGTGGAGAAAAAGGTGAGCAGAGCCCGTCTTTCACGGGAGGAGAAGGAGAGACGCAGAAATCTGGGCCTGTGTTTGTACTGTGGTGCTGCGGGTCACGTTGTTGCATGCTGCCCAGTAAAAGCCAAGGCCCGTCAGTAGTTAGGAGGTTACTGGCGGGCGGAGTCGCAGTGGAGAAAGCCTCCTCGGAAGTAACGCTTCTCTCAGTCCAACTACTCCTAGGTCGGGACACATTCCCTTGTAGAGCTCTCCTTGACTCGGGTTCTGAGGGAAATTTCCTGGATCGCAAGACGGCGCACAAACTGGGAATTCATTTGGTTCCACTCGACTCACCCATCTCAGTCAGTGCACTCTGCGGGCAGTCTCTCTCACCTGTCACCCATTCCACGCAGTTGGTGAGGCTCGTTATGTCAGGCAACCACACTGAGAACATTTCCTTCCTTATCACTGATTCCCCTTTGGCTCCGGTGGTCTTGGGTCACCCCTGGCTATCATTACACGTCTGCTTGTTCTTCTGTGTCTTGTTCTGTGTTTCAGGATGAACATGTGGATCTGTCAAACGTGCCAGCTGAGTATCTGGACCTGAAGGGAGTGTTCAGTAAGTCTCGGGCTGCTTCTCTTCCTCCGCATCGTCCTTATGATTGTGCGATAGATTTATTGTCAGGTACGTCTCCGCCTAAGGGCAGATTATACTCAATTTCTGCTCCGGAAAGGGAGGCCATGTAGAAATATATTTCTGATTCTCTGGCAGCCAAGATCATCCGTCCCTCTTCTTCTCCTGCTGGCGCGGGGTTTTTCTTTGTGGAAAAGAAAGATGGTTCCCTTCGTCCTTGTATTGACTATCGAGGGCTGAACAGCATCACGGTGAAGAATACCTATCCTTTACCGTTGATGTCTTCAGCCTTCGAGAGTCTGCAGGGTGCTTCCTTTTTCACTAAGTTGGATCTTCGCAATGCCTATCATTTGGTTCGCATAAGGGAGGGGGATGAATGGAAGACCGCTTTTAATACCTCCAGGGGGCATTTTGAGTATCTTGTTATGCCGTTTGGGCTCTCTAATGC